ACCTCCACCTCCATGACACAGGACAATAGAATATCCAAGAGGAGCCCCATAGAGAGCCCCTTATTGGTGGTGTAGCGGAAGCCAGAGTCGCTAAGCCAGACCAATGACTTGTAGCAATGAACACCTGCAAGTAAAGATGAATGGACTAAAGGGTAAACTGTGTGACCCAAGGGGCCACACTGCAGCTTCCATGACAAGATTCATTCTCTCTCTCCCTGTGTGTGTGTGTGTGTGTGTGTGTGTGTGTGTGTGTGTGTGTGTGTTTCTATTTTGTTTATTTTGCTTGGTTTTTGTTTTTTCTTTTAAATTTGGGGTTTTTTTGGGGGGGTTAGGTTGCAAGGGCAGAGGGCAGATGAGAGGGGATGGGGAAATAAGCGGGAACAGAATGCATGGTGTGAAATCCACAAAGAACCTATAAAAGTGTAAAAAAAAAGGTGGGGGGTCTCCCTGTATAGCCCTGGTTGGCCTGGGGCTCATTATGTAGTTCAAGCTGATCTCAAACTTGCAGCTATGTATAACCACGCTGGGCATACCAATACTTTCCTAGGTAACTCTAGGTCACAAGGTCATGACACACCTTCAATGCTATTAATAACAAGGGCACCCGTGCATATGTACTGCTGGGGTCAAACATAAGGTCTTGGAAATACCAAGTAAGCACTCTGTCCCTGAGCCATACCACCAACTCCAGTATCACTAGCAAAAGTTCAGACAACCTAAATCCCAATGCTAGCTAGCTACTACCCCCGAGGAATCAGCAGCATAGACTGTTCAGGCTCAGCGAAGTTCCTGAGTGTGGTTTTATAGTCTATCTCCAATTTCCATTGCCAATTTCAGACATAAGGAAAAATATTTGAAATTTGCTTGTTAATAATCTTTCAACTTTGTTGAAAGAACTCTGCTTTATTAGGTAAGACAGCCAAACAACTACATAATTCAGAGCAGAAAAAAAAAAAATCCCAGGAAAATTAAAAGTTAGGTGTTACCCACACAACTAAAGGCGTTGATATTAGGGGATCTGTATTCAAGTCTTTCATCAAAAAAGTACAAGAACTGGAAAGATGGCTCAGCAGTGAAGGCTCTTGCCATGAAGATCTGGTGATCAGAGTTGCATCCCCAGACCCAGAACTGACTTCACAAAATTGTCTTCTGACCTCCATATTTATGCTGCAGCAACCTCACTGCCATTCACGAATAATAAGCAACTTTTTGTTTTGATACAGGGTCTCTCTACATAGCCCTGGCAGCACTGGAATTCACTATGTAGGCCAGGCCGGCCTGAACTCACAGAGATCTGCCTGCCTCTGCCACTCAAGTACGGGGACTAAAGGCATTTGAGCACCATGTCCGGTAATAAGCAACCTCTTAAAAAAAAAAAAGTTAAGCCTGAAGCCCGGGCCTCTGTCTTTGGCACAGTAGTGCTGCTCACCTGGAGTCCAAGCAGCAGGGAGGTGGTAGCAGACCACTAAGACTTCGTCATATAAGACTATCTTGAAAAAGCAACAAAATAAGAAAGTGTACAACCTGTACATGCGTGCATCAGGCTTGGTGATCCGTGCCTATCGCAGACACCTGAGGGTCAGGCAGAAGGGTTGAGTTTGGGGCCAGCCTGGATTACCGGATTATCCCGAGAGTCAGTCTTCTCAGTCTCTCTCTCTCAAAAATATTAATGACTAGCTAAAAAGCCAGACTCCTTCTCCCTTTTAGCAACAAATGAGTTAAACAGGAGAGACTGTGACTCACACGGTCCCCTTTGAGGACGACGGAAAATTAAAGAGTTGGTTTGTTTGGAAGGAAATGTTGGAGATGAAGGGAACTTTAAAATTACACCTTAAGAGTCCAGGAGATGAAAAAAAATAATCTGGTCCCAATTTCAAAGTCAAGTCCTTCTTGGTCCCTAAAGTCATGAGTCATGGGAGGCAGAGGCAGACAGATCTACATGAGTTCGAGGTCAGACTGATTTAAATAGAGAGTTCCAGTCTGACCATGGCTACATAAGAAGACCTGTCTCAAAACAAAACAAACCAAAAACTGAAACCAACAACAAAAACGAATAAAAATAAAATCATATCCCCATGAAATTTACTTCTCTAAAATCATTCAGTTAAAACTAAATCCCCCAATTCTTTTCGTTTGTTTTGTTGCTGTTTTTGTTTTTCGGGTTTTTTTTGTTTTGTTTTTTGTTTTTGTTTTTGTTTTTTCCAAGACAGGGTTTCACTGTGTAGCCCTGGCTGTCCTGGAACTCAGAGAGATCTGTCTACCTCTACCTCCTGAGTGCTGGCACTAAAGGCATGCACTATCACCGCCTGGCGATGTCATCTGATTTTAATCAGAGACGCTGAATACTAAGTTTAATAACCCCACCTTACACTCGTAAATGTATTTTTTTGTTCTCAAAAGGGGGGGGCGTGTAAACAAATTTCAGAGAGCAGCTATTATGTTTATAGAATTTACCTGATGAAAGACGAAAACAGCTCAGCTTTGGGAGGCAGAGGTGGAGGATCAGAAGTTCAAAGTCAACCTCATTAGCAAGTTTGACGGGAGCCTAGTTGTGGGGGTGGGGTGTGTTCCTATTCCGACATCTTTGTAACATTTTAAAAGATGGTTTCGAATCAGTTAAATACTAGTTTTAACATCAGACTGCATCCTTACACGCCAAGTCTTTATTTGCTGTGGTAATGGGATAGTAAACGAAGAATGCAGTTGAAATGTTTGATTTCAACCCTCAGACAATGGAAAAGTTTTGAGCCGATGATTTCACAAGGCCCCCCCCCCATTAACTTTTCGTTAGTCCAGCTGACGAAAAACGAGCAGACTGAGACTGCAGCCCATTTGTTTTCCCAGGATCACCCTGTGGACCAGGCAAAAAGAGGGGTCCTGGCAGAGAAACGGGGCACAAACAAGAGGTATGAAACAGTCTAAACTAAGACAGACCATCCTGAATAAGAGAACTCTGAAACTCAAGGAAGAGAGAGAGAGAGAGAGAGAGAGAGAGAGAGAGAGAGAGAGAGAGAGAGAGAGAGAGAGAGAGAGAGAGAGAGAGAGAAACAGTTTTGCATTTTCAGCCCTCGGACTCCGTTCCAGAATTCCGCAATGACTGCCAAAAGCAACGGCCTTGGAACCAATTAACCATCACCCGCGACCTTCCGCTTCGACTCCCAGGAGGGACCTCGTTCCACCACCTCAGTTTTGACTCTACTCCAGAGAGACACAGTGAAGGGCGAACGCATTGCAAGTGAGGGAATCGGAGACCCTGGGGGAGCAGGGCGAGCTGGTCCGGGGGAAACTCCAAGGGAGCGGCACGAGAGAGAGTGCTGGCGGCGCGGGATGCACAGCGCCCGCCCATCCTGGGGACCCGATCCCGGCCCCCGCCGTCGCCCGCCCATCCCGGAGACCCCACCCCGCCCTTCCACCGCCCTCGCCCCCTCCCCTGACCTGTCCGCGCCGGGTCCCGGTGCGCAGCGCGCCGCCTCCATACCCGCCCGTCCGGTGGCATCAGCGTCCAGACCCCGAGTCACCGCCGCCGCCGGGCTGGAGAGGATGGAGGAGGTCGGGCCCCGCCCCTGGCAACCACACCCCGCACTGTCGCCGACGCCCATTGGTCCGGTGCCCGCCGCTCCCCTCTCACTGGCTAATAGCGCCAGCCGCGATGCTGGAGGGTTTCCAGGGGGCGGGAGACACCAGGAGGCGAAGGCGCGTGCGCCAGAGCGGGGTGCGGCCCCCCGGGCTGGGTCCCAACTGGCCCTCCGGGGCGCCTCCTTGTGTAGCAATGAGAACACCCAGGGTGCTGCCAGGATTGTGGTCCAGGGGTTTGCAAACCTCTGCCGCCAGAAGCCTCGCAAGCTGACCCGCCTTCAGGCTTCCACACTAGACGTCACCCAAAACCCCACTGAGGGACCCCTACCTGGGGACCACATATGCTTATCCCGTAAGTGTAGCTGCTAAGCCTGTCCTCTCTGCAGTAGATCATGCCTCCAGCCATCAGTTCCTTTCTGGTTCTGGTCCCTATAGGACTTTCTGACCAGTGCTATTGCTTGTAGACTTAAATTAGTAAGGCCTAAGCTACCACACTGATGTTGAATACAGATTTTCACTTAAAAAAAATATTGATGTATTCATTTAGAGACAAGATCTTACTACATAGTCTGGCTGGCCTGGAACTCAGCGATCCGACTGCCTCTGCCCCCTAGTGCTGGAATTAGAGGCATGGCGCCACCATGTCCCAGGCGTGTATGGATGTTTTGCCTACACGTATGTCTGCATACCATATGCATCCCTGGTGCCCAAGGCTGTCAGATAGAACCTGTGCCTTCTGGGCATCTGGGGCTCATAACCCCTGAGCCACGTCTCCAGGCCCCAGAAATTAACTTTTGAAAACTAGGAAATTAGTTCATACATAGAATAGGAGAGCAGAACACTGCACTCCCTTAGCCTGCTCCCTGGTTGCTTCATTTTTTTGTGCTTCAAATTCTAACCCATATAAGGGGCAGCATAAATTCTGTTTGGGCTAGTAGGGGCTGGATGCTAAATGAGAAGGGCTGAAAGAGATGCTGTGGTATGAATAAGAGGACCACTGAGACACTTGTTAGTGGGGGGGGGGCGCAGCACCTCCAAACTGATTACTAGAACATGCTCTTCCACTTTATGTACACACAGTTACTCTACCATATGTGATACCACCATATTCTTTCACTGTAAACAGAATCTCAAACCGCAAACCTATTCATCTGTCCCCTACCTCTCCTGACCCTACTGTATTCATCAACACAGGGCTTGTGGCCCTTTGGGCAGAAGGGCCACAGTTGTAAGGGAGCTGTCAACCATTAAAAACTAGAGTTCACTCTGATTCTCTCCATCAGTGGAAGCTGTCACTGAGCCTCACGATCAGTACCAAAAAATGTGGAATGAATCAAGTTTGAGGCAGAAGCCTAATCGGCACCGACCTTTTATAGAGGGGCCACACCGCTGCATTACTGATAAAAGTAGGGGTCTCTAAAAACTCGGGGCAGCCATTTATTTACAAACATTGTAAACAGTACAAGATACTTTAGAGGTTTAAACAGTTCGTATGAGTAAAATACCAGCAGTTCATGACACTAAATTCAACTCTTCTCGATATGAGGTGGCTTAAAAAGCCAATCTAGAAACCGACTTCCAACTCCAGGCCTCCGGCTAAGTCTCCCTCCTGTTGGTGTCCACTCCATTTCATCCTTTCAAGCCAGAGAAGAGACTTTAGAGACGACGACCATCAGCAGCTTTGAGATGAACTGAAGTCTGTGACATCCAGTCAGATCTTCACAAGGAACTGGCTCTTGTCCAGCTTCCCTTTCTCCTTAAGGTAAGCAAACAGGTGCCTTCTGCGTCTCCATGTGACCTTTATCCCATACTTCTCCTCAGGGGTGTCCTTAACCAGAACAGGCCCAGGCTCTGGGCTGTTGGGAGTTGTAGGGCCAAAGATGCATCCTGCAAGGCTGTTTTCCTTCTGATCTGGGGAAACGGGATCTTCTCTCACAGATGATCCCGGGGTCTGGATATCAGGGGGCATGAACACGTGAGATAAGCTTTGAAGTGCATGCCCTGACAGTTCCCCACAGCTCTGGGGACTGAGCAGTGGCACTAAAGGCCTTCTGGGAGTGTCCTTTTCTGCTTGACAGGGCTCTTCTCTGTTCAAGGATATCAACAATGTCTCTGAACTGGAAGATGGTGGACTCTCGAAGGTTAGACGTGGGAACTTACAGGTAGATCTCCGAGTTAAGTGCCTTGCCTGGTCTCGGGGACGATGTTTCCGGTGTGCTGGAAACTGGCTTTCAGCTTTTGTATCAAACTGAGGTAATACCTGTGCATAAAAGAAAAAAACGGGCGGGGGTGGTAGGTCAACTATCAAAGAAACTACATCCAATGGACAGAATCCTTTATTTTTGTCCAGAATCGTGAGGACTCACTATAATAAAACCAATTATGTGATGAAATACTAAGAAAACAGTTTTGGACCAGCTATCCAATCCCTCTGCCTTTCATGTTGCTCCTGGAGAACAGAGGAGATGAGGTATTTCTCATCACCACACGACACTACTGTGGCTTGTTTAACTGTCTGTCCTTAAACTTCATGAGAGCAGGGCTGGAAGGATCTTTGGGGGTAGAACCCATGCTTAGGACACTCAGCAGTTCAGTCCTCAGCGACACAAAGCCCTCAATAGGACAGACTCATCCCCAACCCCAGCAGAGTGCCTGGCAAGAAGGTCTTCAGCAAATAACGAATGGCAGCTCCAAGAACAGGAAGTGAGACTGTTCAGAAACAGGATCTGGTACACCGTGTTTATTCAATCAATGCTATGGATTTTTTCCTTTTCATTTTAGACAGTCTCACCACGTAGTCCAGGCTGGCCTTTAACTTGAGATCCTTCTGCCACAGCCTCTCAAATGCTAGGATTACAAGTGTGCCCCATAATGCCATTTTTAAAGGATTTTCTCCCTAAGGTTCAGTCCATTTGGCCATAGAGTACCTAGTACTTTTCACATGAGTTACAGGAAATAATCTCATTTATAAGCTTGTTGTTTTTCTAGCTTCTTTACCCAGCTACTGGGTAGTGATGTTCACTCAGAACTTTTCCAGAAGAACCTGGCAGGGAAGACTCCAATTCTGTATAACATGTATTCTGGATTGAATGAAGAAAAGTAGATATACCAGATGGGTCAGGTTACCACAGCCAGAAAGAGTAACTGCTGCCCTGTCCCTGCTCCAAGACGATTAACAGTCAGTATTCTGAAAAGCTAACATGGGAAAGGTCAAAGGACTTACCCAGGATGTGATGGTGCCCTGATCAATGGGCTTGCTGGGCACCTGTACAGTGTGGGTAATGGGCTGCTGGAGAGAGTCATAATGGTGTTTGGGGCCCTCCAGTGGCTGTTGGTGGAATAGCAGCTGGGCTTTGCGGGACTGTCTTTGGAGTCTCTTTTTGGGAGGCATCAATAGGTAAATGAAGAGCAATTAGTAACCACATGATGCAGGTTGCCTTCCTGGTCTGGGTCGGGGTCCAGCTGCAAATCATTCCTGTAGAGAAGAAACAAAAGCTGGGAGAAAATCACATGGGTGATTCCCCTGTCCTTCATGACACATATTTGTCAGTCTACCAAAAACGACCATTCAGACCTCCCGCTGTGAGGGAAAGTTTCCTATACCACCTCACGAAACACATTATCTCAACAACACTCATTCAGTAAACAGCTGCTGAACTTACATTACTGTGTCGTGCTGAGCACTCGGAATTAAAGATGGACAAGGACTTACTCAACAGTCACTTACTAAGTATCTGTAGTGATATAGAGGTCCCTGTTTTCGAGGAGCTGGGGTTGTAGCGCAGTGGCACAGCACTAGTCTAAAATGCAAAAAGCCTTAGGTTCAATCCCCAGTACTGCCTAAAAGAAAACGTGAAAAAAAGAGAAGGAAGGGAAGGAGCTGCTGGAGTTTAAGAGAAGGAAACAGTGCCGGCGGCGGTGGCGCAGGCCTTTAATCCCAGCGCTCGGGAGGCAGAGCCAGGCGGATCTCTGTGAGTTCGAGGCCAGCCTGGGCTACAGAGCGAGATCCAGGACAGGCACCAAAATTACACAGAGAAACCCTGTCTCGAAACACAGAGAGAGAGAGAGAGAGAGAGAGAGAAGGAAACAATTACACTTTGGGATAATACGGTTTGCTTCAACTCACTTCAGGTTTTCTAGGTGAGAAAACACCTAGCCTGGGAATGAAGAGCTGGGAGAAGCAAAAGGCAAGAAGGTCACTCCAGGCTGAGGAATGCCACATGCAAGGATGGTTATAGCTGGGCATGGGGGAACACGCTCAATTATCCTAACTGGGGCAAGAGGATCAGGAGTTCAAGTCCAGCTTGGACTATGCACAAAAACCTTGTCTCAAAAGCCACACCACACCGGGTGTGGTGATGCATGCCTATAATCTCAGTACTTAGGAAGGGAGGATGGAGGATCAGGAGCTCAAGGTCATCTTTGGTTAGTTTGAGACCAGCCTGAGTTACATGAAACCTGAAACAACCAAAAAGCTGTCCTGTGAATTCAGAGAATTACAAGCTCATGGGAGACAGAGCATGAAAGACAGCTCAGCGGCAAAAGAACTTGCCTCAAAAACCAAGGACTTGAGTGTGATCCCCAGAACTCACAAAAAAGTAGAAGGCCAAAACCAATTCCCAAAAGATGTCCTGTGACACCCACGTGTGGTGTGTGTCCCCATCACTCACACACGATGTCAGTACCTGTGAGGCTGTGAATGTCTAGCTAACAAATAAAAAGGGAAAAGGTTAGGTGTGGTAACACAGACCTTAAATCCCAGCACTCAGGAGGCAGATCTCTGTGAGTTCGAGGCCAGCCTGGTCTACAGAGTGAGTTCCATGACAGTGGGGGATACACAGGGAGCCCATTTTAAAAAATATTTTTCAAGGAAGGAATGACAACAATAAGAAGAAAAAGATTAGACACTGTGTCAACGTTGGGTCAGGAAAACCAGGTGAGGCCAAATGAGTGTGGAGTTGGGTTGGGTAGTCACTAGAGATTTTCAAGCAGGAGTTTGTGACCAATCACATCCAGGTTTTGTTAAAAAAAAAAATCACCTGGGGGCTGGAGAGATGGCTCAGTGGTTAAGAGCACTAGCTATTCTTTCAGAGGATCTGGGTTTAATTCCCAGCACCCACATGGCAGCTCACAACTGTCTGCAACTCCAGTTCTAAGGTACCCCACACCCTCATATAGACATACATAAATGTAGGCAAAACACCAATGCACATAAATAAAACAAATAAAAAAATCACCCCCAGATTCTCTAGACTCTAAAGAGAAGTCAACTAGTCAAACAACAAGCCCCATATACTTACCACCCAGCCAGTTCACTACTGACCATCTGTACCCATCAATTTCCCTACCCTTGCATGGCTTTGAAGGAAATACATTCTTTTTAGTTTTCAGGTTTAACCTCACCACGTTAAGCAATAACTGTACCATTTGGCTATATACTGGCCCTCTTATAATTATTTTGACTTTTTTGAGACAGGGTCTCACATAGCCTAGGCTGGCTTCAAATTCACATTAGCCTCTGCCTCCCCAGGTGCTGGGGTTACAGGCACGTCTCACTGCACTGGGTGCTTTTTCTGTTGCTGTCATAAAATACCCCGAGGAAAGCAAGTTAAGAAAGAAAGGGCGCCAGGGTGGTGGTGGTGCACGCCTTTAATCCCAGCACTCGAGAGGCAGAGGCAGGCGGATCTCTGTGAGTTCGAGGCCAGCCTGGGCTACAGAGTGAGATCCAGGACAGGCTCCAAAGCTACACAGAGAAACCCTGTCTCGAAAAACCAAAAAAAAAAAAAAAATTAGAAGAAAGAAAAGGCTATTTTGGTTCACAGTTCCAGGGTACAGTCCTGTGTGTTGGGGAAGTCATGGCAGCCGGGACTTGAAGGCAGCTGGGCACACACTTTAGTAGGCAGGAAGCCGGTGAATGTGCTCAGCTGGTTTTCTCCCTTTTAGTGAGTCCAGGTCCCCAGCCCACAAAATGGGAGTACCCCCATTCAGGGTGGGGTCATCCCACCTCAACCTAATCTAGATAATCTCTTACAGGCATGCCCAAACAAAAATGTTAAATCAGGTTTTGACTCACTTCTGCTCAACCTTTGCTTATTTTTATTTATTTTGAGATAGTCTCATGATGTATCTTTGGCTGGCCTGGAGCTGGCGATGTACACCTGGCTGGCCTCAAATTCACAGATAGCCAGCTGCCTCTGCCTCCTGGGTGTTGGGATTAAAGGTGTGCACCATCACTCCGATCTTATTTTTCAGACAGGGTCTCACTGTATAGCCCAGACTAGCCTCTAAATCGAGATCCTTTCGCCTCACCCCGGGATTATTGGTATGTGCCACATGCCTAGCTACTTACAACTCTCGATTCGTTTCCTTTAATTATTAGGTAAGGACAAAACTCAGTAGGGCTGCAGGCCCGGCTTCCTGACTCATCGCATACCGCATTCCTGCGCCTCAGTTCAAATCCCTTCGTACTCACCAGGCCTCCCCGAGGCAAAGCCGCCTTTGGTGATTATTCTATCTGCTTCGAAGGTTTCCCTCCCTTCTGTGTCATGGGTAACAGATCTTAGACCGCGCCTCAGTCAGTTCATTAAAGGGGGGAGGGAGGGAGGGAGGGAGGGGGGAGGGAGGGAGGGAGGGAGGGAGGGAGGGAGAGAGAGAGAGAGAGAGAGAGAGAGAGAGAGAGAGAGAGAGAAGAGAGAGAAGAGAGACAGAGAGAGAGAGAGAGAGAGAGAGAGAGAGAGAGAGAGAGAGAGAGAGAGAGAGAAGAGAGACAGAGAGAGAAGAGAGACAGAGAGAGAGAGAGAAGAGAGACAGAGAGAGAGAGAGACAGAGAGAGAGAGAGAGAGAGACTTCCCTGTCCTAAGTCAAGATTTTCTCATTAAAATAAATATTCAAAATATCACAGAAAGCTGCGGGAGGGCCAGCCAGTGACCCCAGCTACTCCGAAGGCGGAGACACGAGGATCGAGAATTCTACACATGGGGAGACCTTGTGTCACACAAAACCCAGCGGCCTCTAACTTGTTCCTCTGTAGCTAGAATTTCTACGGATCTGTTGATCTCATTCTGTGCTCCCTCTCCAGCAGACGGTGGGCCCGGGGAAGGGCCGCCCCGGGCCGCCCGGGTCTGCCGCGGTGCCCTCCCACTCCACCAAGTGTGTAAATAAGTGAAACATCTGTCTCCCTCGCGGCCGGGCGGACGGGGGCGGCAGGCCACGGCCAGGGGCGGGGCGTAGGGCCGGTCACCGCGGTCGGGCGACACGCAGCACCGAGGCTGGTGTCGGGTCGGGGACCCGGGAGGGGCAGCGCGGGTCGCTAACCGGGGTGAGTGACGTGCGCCGCTCCGGAAGGAAGTCGCCCACCGCGGCTGGGAGGGCCGGGGCGGAGCAGACCGCTCGCTGGCCGCCGCCCGCCCGCGCGTCCCCCGCGTCCCTCCCGCCGCCCCACGAGCCCCGGGGCCGCCTTACCCCGCCCTCCCGGCCGCGGCCGCCGCTCCTCCGGACGCCGAGCGTTCGGGGCCGGAACCCGGAGACAAGCCGGTGCCGATTGGCGACGCTCCGTCACGTGACCGCAACGCTCCGCCGGCGCCAATTTCAAACAGCGGAACAACTGAAAGCGGCGCTGCGGGACCCACCCCCCGGCCCGGGCTCCCCCCCCACCCCGCCCCGGGCTCCCCACCCCAGGCCGTCCCTCCGGGACCCGCCGCCCGGGCCCTGCCTCGGCCCCGCGTGGAGCAGCCGCGGCGTGTGAGGTGAGTGGGGTGCAGAAGGAAGTCCCGGGCCCGGCCGGGTCAGGGGAGGGCTGGGAGCCGGGACTGCCGGGGCTGCGGGGCGCGAGGGGGTGTTGGGGACCGCCGGGAAGAAAGTCTGAGCCGCCGGCTCGGCCTTCCCGCCGCGTTCTCCGAGCACCCCGGGCACCCAGGGCACAGACGTGCCCTCGGAGTCTGCACACGCAGTCCAGCCCTGATGCAGGGCGGGATCCGAGCTGAGTGTTGCAAGGGTCCCGGTTCAGGGTGGAGAATGGGGTCCACGGGGGTGACTGCGAGTCCCGTCCGGTTAGAAGGTACTGGGCATATTAGGAAGAGACTGGTCAAAGAGAAATACCCGGTGGGGGTGGGGGGGTTTGCTACTTGATTGGGGTGGGGCGCAATGTGAAGCAAAATGAAAACTGAGATTTGAAGGTAGAGAAAACGAAATATAAAGGAAAGGAAGCCACAGGGTGGAAGGGACCTGAGAACTCTAAGCAGCTGGCAAATGTCAAAAATGTGTCATCCTTTTTTGGCAGGTGTCCTTAAAAAATAAAAGACAGCTGGTTTCTCTGTTTCTCAAAGGACCTCAATAACTTAATAAGTTATTTTATATATCTATAAAAATCTATGAAATGCTTCTTCTAAAGAAAAAACTACTTCCTTAGCATTTCAAAGCCTTTAGCATAGCCAGGCATGGTGGCAAACGCCCGTAATCTCAGCATTTACAAAGGCGGAGGTCAAATTATCAGCAGTTCAAAGCCAGCCTGGGCTACATGAGACTCTGTCTCAAAAATAAAAGCTACCTGAAGCATATTAATGATCGCTCATTTTAGTAGGCAGGAGATGGGTGTTACAATCTTACTTTTGAAGCAGAAAATTAAGGTATATAAAGTAACACACTTACAAAGCTAAAATGCCATAAATACTTGCAAGTACTGAGGTGTCACTGTGCAAATGTTTTGCAGATTTTGAAAGGAAATACACTTTAAAAAATTAACGTAATGGGCTGGAGAGATGGCTCAGTGGTTAAGAGCTCTTGGTGCTGTTCAAGTTTTTTGGTTTTTTTTTTTTTAAATTAATGCAAGAGAACTGGGGATTTTATTGTAGAGCATTTACCAAGCATCCACAAAGCCCCAGGTTCAATCCTCAGCACTACGAAAACCTGGCATTGTGGCCACACCTGTGATTCTAGCAGGTGGAGGCAGGAGAATCAGAAATGTAAGGTCAGCTGCATTGTTTGAGACCAACCCAGGCTAGAAGAGACTATGTCTCCTCCCAAAAAAGGGCACTGGGGTATAGCTCAGTGGTAGAGTCCCTGCGTTCAATCACCAGTACTGGAAATGTGAAATAAAGGACCGCACAGCTTTGCTGTGGACCTTAAATAGGGAAGTTTCCACCCTTTGAGATCTTGCACAGGTGCCTCTGACTGAACCTGGGACCTGCAGATGCAAACGTGCCAAGGCTTTATCAAAGAATGGGTGGCAGGATCAGGGTTTTGTCAGGACTCCTAATCGCCCCTTGTCCGTCCACTCTCTGGTTTTTCATGCCTCTCTGTAGTCGTTAATTCTGGGGGACTGTGGCAGCATTTCCACATTGTTACAGATGTCTTCTCACGTATTCTCTTGACCACACATTTAAAAAAAAATGTTTTTACATGATTCTTGGGAGGGTGCCCACATGCCACTGCACAGATGTGGGGGTGGGAGAGCATCCAGGAGTTGGTTCTCCCTTTCACCATTGTGGTCCCCGGGATCGAATTCGGGTGTCAGGCTTACAGCAGGCCACTTAACTCACTGAGCCGTCTTGCCAACCCCAAAACAATCTGGGTTTTTGTTTGTTTGCTTTTTTGAAGTACTGGGAACTGAACCTAGGGCCTTGCGCGAGCTAAGCAAACACTCTGTCACTAAGTTATATTATATCCCTGACCTGGCCAAACTTTCTTAAGCTTCCAGGATCATTGACTCTAATTCAGTCCCATGTTCCTCTCTTGAATTGCTTGTTTGCTGTAATTTTTAGCTTTCCTTGCGCAGTAGTAGGGCTTTATTTATTTGGGTTTTGTTTTGTTTTTTTGAGACATGGTGACCTTGAACTCACTATCTGGCAGAGGCTGGCCTTGAACCTTGTAGGTTCTGGGATTACAAGTATACAACAAATACAGCTACTGTGTTATTGTCTGAGGGCTTGACAGAGGTCCAGGCAGCATTCCCCTTGGGCCTCTGAGCTTCTGCTTTTGGCCATACATGCAAAGGATCACTTCCAGTTTGTCTCAGCTCAGCAGGTTTGTGATACCAAGCTTCTCCTTGCCCTCTGCAGGGTCAATGCTTGTGATTCTCAATGGAGAGTGAGAGCACAGCTTCATGATGAGAACCAGCCCCCGTCGGCCACTGATTCTCAAAAGACGGAGGCTGCCCCTTCCTGTTCAAAATGCCCCAGGTGAAACATCAGAGGAAGAAGCAAAGAGACTCCCTGCCCAGCAGGAGCCTACTCAAGCACAGGCCTTCCAGGAGGTGGCAGAGTCCAGTTCTTGCAAGTTTCCAGCTGGAATTAAGATTATCAATCACCCCACCATGCCCAACACACAAGTGGTGGCCATCCCCAACAATGCCGATATCCAGAGCATCATCACAGCACTAACTGCCAAAGGGAAAGAGAGTGGTAGCAGTGGACCCAACAAGTTCATCCTCATCAGCTCTGGGGGAACCTCATCTCATCCTCCTGGTCCCCAGCCTCAAGCCCAAACCAGCAATGATTCCAGGAAGACAGAAGTGATCACCGAGACGTTGGGACCAAAGCCAGCAGCTAAGGGTGTGCCTGTTCCCAAGCCGCCTGGAGCCCTTCCAAGGCAAAGACAGGAAAGCTGTGGTATGTGGTCTGCAAGGCAAAGGGTTGGGGAGGCTGGCCCTTCTCACTGGCAAGACTGCCTGCAGTCTGATCCTGATGTCTGTGATAGACAGGAATCTAGGAGGGACCAAGGCAAAGGCTTGCTTTTCTTTATTCCGAAACTTTGAGCTGACCATCTGGGCATTGTTGAAAGGGTTACAATAATGTAGCATTCCCATCACTCTCTATATATTGGAAAAAGATTTGTTGATTGGCTGGTTGGTTGGTTTGATTTATTCTTTGTATTGACTTGTGTCTTAGTCACTGTTCTATTACTGTGAAGAGACACCACGCCCAAGGCAACTCTTACGAAAGAAAGCATTTAACTGGGAGCTTGCTTATGGTTTTAGAGGTTTAGTTCACTGTGATCATGGTGGGGAGCATGGCAGCATTTAGGCTGGCACTGGAGCAGTAGCTGAGAGCTACATCCTGATCTGGACTGAGATAGAGAGAACCTGGGCCTGGCATGAGCTTTTGAAACTTAAAAGTCCGCTCCCAAGGACACACTTCCTCCAACAAGGCCATGCACGTCTCCTAATCCTTCTGCTCCTTTGAAATAGTGCCACTCACTGGTGCCTAAGCATTCAAATATATGAGCATATAGGGACCATTCTATTCAAACCACCACAACCTATAAGGAAGTAAATCTCCATCTTAAAGGAATAAACTGGAGCCTGAGGAAGAAAAGTGACTTTCTTGTGTAGTTATCCAAAAGTTACCTTGACAGATGCCTAAGGTTCCATCTGGTTCATTGAAATGTAGTTCATTGCTCCTGAATTTCTCAAGTCCATCATGGAGCAGAATAACTTACAGCCACAGCAATTTACCATGTGTCCCCTGCCCCTAAGAGCATATGTGGGTCTTGGAGGGATTATCGCCAGCCATCAATTTTGATGGCGGGCTTCAGGGCATCCGAGAGGCTGCTAATGAAGTTTTGGGTTGTTTTCCTTGTAGCTGGCAGCGAAGCAGCAGGCTGCACGCTGGACAACAGCTTAACCAATATCCAGTGGCTTGGGAAGATGAGTTCTGATGGACTGGGCCCCTGCAGCATCAAACAGGAGATGGAAGAGAAGGAGAATTGTCACCTGGAGCAGAGTCAGGTCAAGGTGAACTGTCTGTCACTCATTATGGAAGTCGAAACTAGTGCAAGGGACCTCTCTTTTTCTTTAAGATTTATTTACTTATCATGTATATAGTGTTCTGCCTTCATGTAGGCTTGTAGACCAGAAGAGGGCAACAGATCTCACTACAGATGGTTGGGAGCCACCATGTGGTTGCTGCGAATTGAACTCAGGACCTCTGGAAGAGCAGCCAGTGCTCTTAACCTCTGAGCCATCTCTCCAGCCCCGTGCAGGGGATTTCTAAGAAGGGAAACGGATCTAGGAGCTGCTGGAGCAGAACATCCAAGTTCTCTTATTGACACTACTTAATGCTTTTCTATGTAATTTTTCTTTAAAAAATTTTTTGGAGGTATTGGAGAGTGAACCCAAGGCCTTGAATATAGTATGTAAGATAGACCACTAGTAAGACTATACCACTAGCTGGGAGGTGGTGGCACACACCTTTAATGGGAGGCAGAGTCAGGCCTGGTCTACACAGTGAGTTTCAGGATAGCCAGGGCTACACAGAGAAACCCTGTCTCCAAAAACAAAAAGCAAACAGAAGACTATGTCACTAAGCTACATTTCCAACCCTTTTTTATTTTTACTTTGAGGCAGGGTCTGGCTAAAACTGACCTTGCTTGGGTCTTCCTGTCTCAGTCTTTTGAGTAGACAGGATTACAACTGTGTGCCACCACACCCAGCTCTGTGACATTTGAATTACTTTACTGTCTAGGATCTCTTAACTGTCTCCATCTGTGGCTCTTGGTTGGCAGGTTCCTGTCTTATGTTATATTTCTCTAGCTCTGGGTTTTATATCCTGGGCTTAATAGCCCTTGGTAGATATTTAGGAAATGATAATCCACTTGGATTTTTCTTTATAATTAATTTTATTTCATATGCATTGGTGCTTTGCCTGCATGTATGTCTGTGTGAGGGTGTCAGGTCCCTGGAACTGGGGTTACAGTAGTGAGCTGCCATGTGGCTGCTGGGAATTGAACCTGGGTCCTCTGAAAGAGAAGCCAGTGCTCTTAACTGCTGAACTATCTCTCCAGTACCCCATTTGGATTTTTAACAGAATGAATTGAGTGTAGCATCATTGATAGACAGTTTTACTAGGAGATACACTATAATATTAATAGCAAAGTGAATTCGATAGGAATTGTATTGTGTTAATTGAACTGTATACTTACACATCTGTGCTTGTAAAGTTACATCTCAGATTTTTAAACTGAATGATCAGATCTTTGTCTAAAACATCCGAATGTGTCCTTTGAAAGCATTTGTCCCACACTTTTGACTGTTTCTTCTATACGACCACTGAAACAGGATGAGCTTACAGCTCATCAGGACTACAAATGAAACTGGGACTTAAGTCCTTCGACCTGCAAGTCTGAAAATGGGCATGGGTTCATACAAATCATCGTGTGGACCCCAGCTAGAGAATCAACTGGAAGAGATTCCTCTTGGTTTTTGTTTTTGAGACGGGGCTCTTATTATGTAGCCTAGGCTAGCTTAGAAAAGGTTATGTAGCTGAGGATGACCTCGAGCTCTCAATCATCCTGCCTTCACCTCCCTAGCGCTGACATTACAGACATGTGCCACCACAACCCATTTTTTTAGGTGGTGCTGGAGATCAAACCCAGGCCTTCATGCATGTTAGGCAAGTATTGTACCAAATGAGCGATGTCTCCAGCATCTAGGCTTCTTCTTAGCAGGCAGCTTATCTTCTGGAAAAGGATGGAAGTGAGTCAGTTAGTTCCTAATTGGTTGGGGCCTAGACTAACATCTGCCTGAACACTGACGGTAAACTTTAATTCCATTATGAAATGGTGGTCTCAAATAAGTTTGTTTTCCTGGGCAGAGGTGGCGCACGCCTTTAATCTCAGCACTTGGGAGGCAGAGGTAGGCAGATCTCTGTGAGTTCAAGGCCAGCCTGGTCTACAGAGTGAGTTCCAGAACTTTGTGTAGCCCTGCAGAGAAATCCTGTCTCGGGAGGAGGGGGAAAGCTTGTTTTTAGTATAGTCTAGAGCAGTGGTTCTTAACCTGTGAGTCATGACCCCTTTGGGTCACATATTGGATATCCTGCATATCAGATATTTACATCATTGATTCATAACAGTAGCAAAATTACTGTTACGAAGTAGCAACAAAATAATTTTATGGTTGGGGGTCACCACAATATGAGAAACTGTATTAGAGGGTCACAGCATTGGAAGGTTGAGAACCACTTCTCCACGGACTGGGGGTAGGGAATGGTTCTCATGAACTCCACTGTGTCGTTCTCTGTTCTCTCCCTTTGGCTTCTTGAACCGCACAGGCTGAGGAGCCCTCGGGAGCATCCACATCTTGGCAGGACTCTGTGTCGGAGAGGCCACCCTACTCTTACATGGCCATGATACAATTTGCCATCAACAGCACTGAGAGAAAGCGTATGACCTTGAAGGATATCTACACTTGGATCGAGGACCACTTCCCCTACTTTAAGCATATTGCCAAGCCAGGCTGGAAGGTATTATGTCCCATAGGCAATGCCAAGGTCATTCTGGTATAACTGTTTCTCACTCTTTGCTTCAGATTGTGTCTTAGTGAAAAATAAGAAAAAACTATGAGCCTCCTGGCCCCCAAGATAAATTTCCTGGAACATCTAGTGGGCAGGGCCTTTTCTTTTTCTCTCTTGTTTGAGAAAGTCTCACTGCATGCTCTAGGCCGGCCTCAAACTTACAGTCTTCCTCAGGAGTAGGTAGGATTGCAAGTGTGTGCTACCATGCCCACCCGGGCAGGTTTGTCTTGCTTTTCATCTCATGCATTGGGACTCAGATGCTCAGGAATAGTGTCAGAACCTGAAGGTGTGTGTGTGTGTGTGTGTGTGTGTATGTGCGCGTGTGCGCGCTTGCGCGCATTCACTTATTGCTTGGGAATGGCAGGCATGTGAAGGTCAGAGGACAGTTTGTTAGAGCTATCTCTCAATGGGAGTTCTGGGATTGAGCTCAGGCTTGGCAGCAGGTACCTTTACCCACTTTTCAGTCCCTTGCATTACACTGAAAACCTTGAGTAGAATGGGATTTGCCAGGCTGGAGATGTAGCTCAGTGGCAGAGTACTTACCTGACGTGCACAAGAGCCCGGATTTGAAGTGGGATTTGCCAGGAACAATGACGTCTGACTCCTGCTTGGACCAGAGTATGACCTCACGTCCTCTCTGCAGCCTGTCCTGTGGTGTCTGCAGTGTAGACAGCTGGACTGCCTGACACACATCTGGGCTGCCTGACGCACACCTGGGCTGCCTGACACACACCTGGACTGCCTGACGCACACCTGGGCTGCCTGACGCACACCTGGGCTGCCTGACGCACACCTGGGCTGCCTGACAGACACCTGGACTGCCTGACAGACACCTGGACTGCCTGACGCACACCTGGGCTGCCTGACGCACACCTGGGCTGCCTGACGCACACCTGGGCTGCCTGACACCTGGCCACGAGTAGCAATGCTTCAGTTGTACTTGGTTCTCACATTGGCATGTTCCTGGATCTCTAAAATCAAATTTCCAATCTCTGAGGTAGGATCTTACTGGGTAACCCAGACTAGCTTTGAACTCTGTATCTTCCTGCCTCGTCTTCTTAAGTACTGGGAAATGGGTGTACACCACCACGTCTAGGCATGGAGATAGTTTTTTCCTGCTGCTGCTCCTGACCTTCAGTGTTTCTCTGTGGACTGTGCAGTGGACGGCAGTCTTCTCACTTGTGATGCCAAAGGGAAAACACGGGGGTCTTGGCTGCCCGGCTTTGTCTGTCTCCATTTTCCCACTCGGGTGAGGAGGCAGAAGTTGCAGGTGTAAAGCTCCTTTTCAGGGTTCTTTTCATCTTAGTCCTGCACTGGGATCGAGAGCAGGAATAGAGAGGGAAACTTCCAGGCTAAGACCTTAAGAGCCCGGAAATAGCTGGATCTGTTTGTAGTTGTTATGGTTTGTTGTTTTTGTAACCAGCTGAAGGGGTGTCGACAGTCTTTATCTCCTGGGGTGGAGGTCTGAGGTTAGCTCTGCAGTGTGGCGTATCAGGAAGGGAGGTGCCAACAGGTGAGATTGCAGGGACCGTGAGCATAGTCTCTGTTGAACACAGTGGGAGACTCTGCGGCCTTTCCCCGTTCACTCCAAGGGTGATGTTCCCGAGCTAACTGAACTGCTAACTGCTTACCTTTCTCTTTCAGAACTCTATCCGTCACAACCTTTCCCTCCACGACATGTTTGTTCGGGAGACATCTGCCAATGGCAAGGTCTCTTTCTGGACCATTCACCCAAGTGCCAATCGCTACTTGACGTTGGACCAAGTGTTTAAGGTGATTGTTCCTGTTTCATCTAGAGAGCCAGAGTTGTTGGTTATAGAGCCTTCTGGAAAGGAGCAGTGTTCCTCCTGACGTTCTCTGATTGAGAGAGAGCTAGAAGCCAGTCAGCCAGTTAATGACTTGCATAATTAATGACTGTTAATGCCCTGAACTCAGGTGACAGATACCGAATGACACTCCTTTGCACTAGACCCGAGCACAAAGAGAACTGTTCTGGTCCAAAATAGAGGAGTCTCTCTCTAACTCCCCTGTAAGTAGACAGTTGTAAGCTTCCAGGTCTCTAATTTGGAGTTCTGATCAGCGAGTCTGGGATGGGCCTAGTGACTGGGGGGAGGGCGTCTGTCAGCACACATGCCCGTGCATGTTTAGAGGCCAGAGGAGGACACTGGGGGTCCTGTTCTACCTTTCTTCGTTTCCTTGGGATGAGGTCTCGTTGAAACTGGAGCCATGCTGATTGTCATGAGCCGCATCCATCCGCCTATCTGCACCCGGCCCTCATAGTGCTGGGGTTACAAGCACATGCACGGCCACCCCGGCTCTATTTTATTGTTTAATGTAGGTGTTGGGGTCTGAACTCAGATCCTTATGTTTCTACAGCAAGCTGTCTCACCCGCTGAGACACCTCTCCAGCCCTGTAATTTGTATTTTCAATCTTGCTCTAAAGAACCCCTTCTCTAAGTCTAGAGACCAGAAATGGAGCCACAGGAACATGTTTTCAGGAAAAAAGTTGTTTTGGGAACTTGTGAGTACCCACAAGGATGCTGTTGCTGTCCTGTTCTTCTGGAAGGGACCATTATCCATGGTGTCCCTTGGCACCCATCAAATAGGTTTCTTCCTAGTCTGGGTAGATTGACCACGTTGGTGGTAACTTCATCTCATTTCTCTCCCTCGATGCCTGGCCGCCACCAGCCACTGGAACCAGGGTCTCCACAATCGCCCGAAAACTTGGAATCAGTAAGATTCTTTTCCTCTGGCTCGGGGCTTGGCCTTACTTCCCTTCACTGCTCAGCATGGCTTTAGTGGGCAGAGAAGTTGTGATGTGGGGAGGGGACTGTGTTTGGCCCCGTGGCTGCTAGCCCTAAACACAGCACCACAAAGGTGTGCTGAGCAGAGCAAAGTGGGCACTGTAGGACCGGCCACTGCAAGGACAAGTGCATGGCACGGGCCTTGCAGGCAGCAGCAGCAGCAGCAGCCTGTTCTCTCAGCCTGCCTTTTCTTTGTCTCTCTGATAGCTGTTGCATTCCCAGGGGGTGGTGAGGAGCATGGGTCGGTGTCGCACTGTCCTGTCCTCATATGTCTGTTGCTGTCCACTTTTCCCTGAGCATGGCTTGACAGATTGTACTTACCCCCATCCGTCATTCAAACTGGCTTTTTCTTTCTGGGTTGTTGGATTCTTTCTGGTTGTTTGTTGGATTGATACCAATTGCATCAGCTCAAGTTGGTGGGGTTCCACGGCCTCCCCTTACCTTACTAGCCCGGATCTCTTTCTCCCCATAAGCAGCAGCAGAAACGACCCAATCCTGAGCTCCGTAGAAATGTGACCATCAAAACTGAACTCCCGCTGGGCGCACGTGAGTATGAGAGTGGGCCTCAGACCTGCCCAATCCTGGTTCTGGGGCCTGTCACCAACTTAAAGGATCTGAGCCCATAGTTAAACGGAGCTTCTGGAGTGGGGAGTGGTGGACCCCTAGCTTTGCTACCTCTGATCTCTTCTGCTTCTTCCTAGGGCGAAAGATGAAGCCACTGCTCCCACGGGTCAGCTCGTACCTGGTGCCCATCCAGTTCCCAGTGAACCAGTCTCTGGTGTTACAGCCCTCAGTCAAGGTGCCGTTGCCTCTGGCAGCTTCCCTTATGAGCTCGGAGCTCGCCCGTCATAGCAAGCGAGTCCGAATTGCACCCAAGGTACTGCTAGGCAACGAAGGGATGGCCCCACTTCCTGCTGCGGGACCGGTGAAGGAGGAGAAACCCCTGCTTGAAGAAGGGCTACTGCCTTTGCTTCCTATTCGGTCCATCAAGGAGGAAGAAACCCTGCCTGGGGAGGACTCGCCACACTTAGAGAGGCCTATCAAAGTGGAGGAGAGCCCTCCCTTGGAAGAGTGGCCCTCTCCATGTGCATCGCTGAAGGAGGCACTGTCCAATTCCTGGGAAGATTCTCCCTGCTCTCCTACCCCAAAGCCCAAGAAGTCCTATTGTGGGCTCAGATCCCCAGCCCGGTGTGTCTCAGAAATGCTGGTGACTAAGCGAAGAGAGAAGAGGGAGGTGAGCCGGTCTCGGAGGAAACAGCACCTTCGCCCACCCTGTCTGGATGAGCCTGAACTGCTCTTCTCAGAGGACCCCAGCACATTACAACCAGCCATGGAGCCCCTACTCCTAGCAGAGTCTTCAGAGCCTGCACCCCAGCTCAGCTGCCCTCAGGAGGAGGGAGGGCCCTTCAAGACCCCTGTCAAGGAGACGTTGCCCATCTCTTCCACTCCTAGCAAGTCTGTACTCTCCAGAACCCCTGAGTCCTGGAGGCTCACACCCCCAGCCAAAGTTGGAGGGTTAGATTTCAGCCCAGTACGAACCCCCCAGGGCGCCTTTGGCCCCTTGCCTGACTCCCTGGGGCTGATGGAGCTGAACACCACACCTCTGAAAAGTGTTCCCCTTTTTGACTCACCCCGAGAGCTCCTCAACTCAGAACCCTTTGACCTTGCCTCTGACCCCTTTAGCAGCTCTCCGCCTCCACATCTGGAGGTCCCCAAGCCAGGCTCCCCTGAGCCACAGGTCCCCAGCCTTTCAGCCAACCGTTCTGTCACAGAAGGCCTGGTCTTGGACACAATGAATGACAGTCTCAGCAAGATCCTTCTAGACATCAGCTTCCCTGGCCTGGAGGAGGATCCTCTAGGCCCTGACAACATCAACTGGTCTCAGTTCATCCCTGAGCTGCGGTAGAAGCAAGGCCTTGCCCTTGCCACTCAAGCTGCCCACTTGTGTGGCTGGAGAGTGCAAGGCTCAGTGTACCCCGAGCCCTCTGAGGGAAGCTAGCAGGCAAGGGCTGAGCTGTGCCCCTTACCTAATTATGCCAAGACAGTAGTCACATCTAAGCCACTGCTGGGACCTGTGCATGCAGTAGGGTCTCCCAGAGAGTCTGAGTCTTCCACTCTCTCTGCTGGTCACCGAAGGGTGGGTGTGACAAAAGCAGTGATGGTCAGGAAGTGCCCAGTAGTCATCTGCTGCTCCTGGCAGGAGAGCCCTGGCAAATGGTGTAAGTTCCCCAGATGGTCCTCTAATTATAAATGTAAGCTTATTTCCTTAGCTCTTCTCTAGAGACTGCCAGGGGTGGGGAGGGTAACACGGGGTTACACTTTGCTTCTGCTTGTGGCCTTTGGGGAAAGGACCTGCGGTGCAGTTTCTTCCACACTTGTGGGTTCTGCTGGAGGCATTTAGACATACAGGTTGGCTTGCCAGGATCCCGCTTACTGCCCTTTCCTGACACCCCCATGTTTCCAAGCCAGTGGTCCTGCAAGAAGAAATCCTGGTGTAAAAGCCTGTTGGATTTGGGTGTAGGGGGGTGGGTGTGCCTGAAGCAAAGCGTGGGTACTCACGTGAGTCCTGTTGGTGTTTGTTTCTCTGATAGTGTTCCTAATCATGCCAGAGAGTCTAGCATTGAGAGCTCAGGCTGAGGCCTGAGACGGAAGAAGTGACCCCTGACCTGCCTGGCTTCCTTAGCTTGTACCTGAGGTTTGCAAAGAGCCACCCTAGGCTCCAATACACAAGCTAGCACGAAAACACTACTGTAACTACCTACTGAATAAAACCCAGGGTGGCACTGCTGGTCTCGAGGAATTGCATGAGGGTGATGGTGGAGACTGGAGATGGTGGGCAAGGCCTTGCACAGATGTTCCTCCCATGCCCTTTTCTGACTCAGAAATTGTTAGTTTTGTCTGGTGTGGTGGTTCATGCCTATAATCTCAGCCCTTGGGATAGAGGCAGGAGGATCAGCCAGTCTAGGTACGTGAGATCCTGTCTCCCACAAAGTCCAGTTTTCCTGCTGTTCCCCTGCACTGTCCACCTCTTCCTGCTACCTCCAGACCTCCCACGGGACCAGAGTCTGACTTAGGCCCCTGTTGATTCCTCAGGTTACAACAGCACTTCCCTCCTAGTCCCTTCAACCTTCAGGCCGGAAAGCTGGGCCCATTGCAGGTGTCTCATTACCACTTCTATCCCAGCCCCGAGCCTGGGAACCTGCCTGCTTCCTCCTCCTCAAGCCTCCCAGGCAAGGTCCTCCTGGAAGCAGCTCCTGTTACCACATTTTGTAACTAGAACCGACAGCACTGCCCCCTCCCTACCTCACCAGGAAAGCATCAGGGACTGCAGAGCCTCCCAGGACAGGCCAGAGCCTCCTCCCAGCAGCACCAGTCAGGAAGCATCACCATAGCAACCCTAGCAGCAAACAATGGTACCAGAAAGGGCTTTTCCCCAAAGCCTCCCCTCCTGGCTCTGTGGCTCGGAGGAAGAATGGCCAGCAGCTGGAAAAGATCACCCCAAAGGCCATCCGTGAAAGATGTATCTCATGTCAGGGAGCCTTTCCTGCAGGTAGAGTGGGGCCCAACTCTGCAGCCCAACTTTCAGGTTGTCCTGAGCAGCAGGCTTCCTGGAACACAAACTTCTGCCTTCATCCTATGATTTGCTGAATTGGCTTAGGAGCTTAGGAGGAGGAGCCTGGCTAGCACAGGTTGAAGAGGCCTTCTCTAAAGCAATTGGGGCCAGAAATATTCTTAGCTTTTGAAGTGTTTGGATGTATGTCATAAACTATCTTGGGGAGGGACCCAAAACTTACCGTGAGATTCCTCTGTTTCATAGATGTCTTATACATAGCCTAAAGGTGACTGTGCATGCAATATTTTCAGGAGGTCTGATATTTGAGACTGATCAAAAAGGTTGAATGTGGAATTTTCTGCTTGTGACACCATGCTCTTACCCAGGGGAAAAAAATAAGATTTTCCGCATTTGGGATCTTGCATTTTCAGATTCCAGGGTGGTGTTTTGTTGAGGTAGTCTTGCTATGTAGTCCTGGCTAGCCTGATACTATCAGCCTGCAATAGCCCTGTCTCAACCTTCCAAAGGCTGGTATTATAGATAATGTGCCATTATGCCCAGTTTTGGATTTGTTTGTTTGGCCTTGTTTATTTTTGATGCAGAACCTCCCTATATAGCCCCTGTTGAAATTCACACGTAGGCTAGGCTATTGTCAAACCTGTGAAGGACTGCCTCTACCTCCTAACGAGTTACTAGCACGGATTGTCATGCCTGGGATAGACCAGGCATGTTTGTGTTAGCTCTCAGCCCTTTCCTCTGGGGTGTTCTTATAGAAAAGACTTGGGGAGTTAAGTACAGTGAGTCATGCCTGTAATTTTAGCATTCATCAGCCTGGTCCATCAAGGCTACACACGAGATCTTATCTCACAAAATCAAAAGGAAGAAGGAAGGAGAAAACAAACACGCCAGCGAGCCAACAGGATGGTTCGGGTGGTTAGGACGGGCTGTACCTGACAACCTGAGCTCCATCGCTAGAACTGACGTGGTAGAGGAACCAGACTCCTTCAAGCTGTCCTCAGACCTTCGCGTGCATGCTATGGCATGTGCATGTATGTCCACATGCACTAGATTTTAATTTTAAAGAAATAGGATTTAAGGGATGATGCTGAAGGAGCTGGTGGAGTTTTGGAGTGAGGAAAACCCTAGAGTGGGTGAGAGGGAAGAACATTTTAAAAGACATTTCTGGTCCTGGTCAGACTGTGAACAAGCTTTTAGCCATGTTTCACACAGCTAAGTATGCTGAGGTTGAACACAGCGTAAACCTGAACTCTCCCACTTGGTTGAGACTTCATGTGAATCCCTTACTGTAACGGGGTCTTTCTAACTCTGAAATAGGGACTTGGTTGCCATTTTTTTTGTCAGTTTTCTACTGCTGTGACAAAATTCTTGTGATAACTCAAAAGAGGAAAGGTCCACTGGGGCTCATGGTAGAGGCTTCCTTCAGTGTGCACTCATTTGGCCTTGCTGCTCTACTCCTGTGAGGCACCCACAGAGAAAGAGCGTGCCAAAGCAGGCTGCTCACCTCATGGGCACCCAGAAGCAAAGAGGCAGGAAGGGTTCTGGCTCCCACTGTCCCCTTTAAAAGCATGCTGCCAGGGGCCTAACTTCCATGAGGCCCCTCCACCTGAGGTTCTACCGACTCCCAGGTAATACTCAGGCTGGAACCAGGCCTTTTACGCCAGCCTTTGAGAGACATTTACACAGACCAGAGCAGAACTGGATATTTTCTCATGGAGTTGGAGGAAAGGGGGCACCATGTTTCATGGAGGGAAGAAAAGAAAAGGTACGAAAGAACATTCTAGATGCTTCCTAGCCTGACTGGCCTTTCAATGAGAAATGAGGGAAAAGTGCCAAAGACAGAACAGGTAATAAGAGGACTCTGGGATGGAAAGCCACTTGGCCCTCCTTTAGGGACCAGGAGCAAGGGAAAGTATGTTGCTAGAATGGCTGCCCTGGGTCATCGCCCTGGCCCTGATGTGTCCACAGGGATACATATGAGGGCATGAGGACGGAGGAGAGAGGTGAAGAAAGTGGGGGCCAGTGAGATAACTCACAGGGCAAAGGCATTTGCCACCAACTGATACCCAAGTTCAGTTCCTCAAAACTCGAGTGGAAGGAGAAAACTGACTTCTGTAAGTGGTCCTCTGACTTCCACACTCACACCATAACTCACACATACACTAAATAAATAAAATTTTAAGTACAAGTAGGGCCTAGAGAGAGGTTCAGTGTTTAAGAGCACTGGTTGCTCTTCCAGAGGACCCAGACTCCCAGCACCTACATGATGGCTCACACCATCTCTAACTCCAGTTGCAGAGCATCCAACGCCCCCTCCTGGCCTCCTTGGGCACCAGCCATGTATGTTGTGCACAGATGTACACATAGTCAAGACACCCATACACATAACTTTAAAAATAAAAATCTTAAACCCAAGATACAATTTTATATATATGTACATGTATGTATATATACACATACATATAATTTTTAGAAGTTGAGAATGGGAAATCAAAGTCAGAATGTAATAACTGGAAAAAGATTGAGATTTGGTAAATCTATGGAAATGATAGGACAGTACAGTAACTTCTGGGTTGGGCAATTACTAGTCTCTTTGAAACAAAATGCCTGATAGCAAAGTTAAGGATTATTGTGGCTCAGTTCAGGCCTGTAGTCCATCCAGGTAGGAGTCGGTGGCAGTCAGGGAGGTAAAGGCTGGTGCTCAGCTTGCTTTCTGCTTGATGGTGGCGTCAGAGTTAATGTGGCTCCTTCCACCTCAGTTAATCTAGACAGCCCCTTGGGAGCGTGCCAGGGGCTTGCATCCCATATGACTCTAGATCCTGTCACGCTGATGATGCTAAGAGAACTAGCTCAGTTTTCAAAGTGCTTGCTACACAAGCGTGACGGCCAGAGTTCAATCCCGAGAACTCACAGAAACAATTCTACAGAGGTGGCTCGGTGGTTAAGAACATCTGCAGAGGGCCTACATGGCAGCTCACAGCCATTTTAACTCCACTGGGTCCCCTGGATTCTGCCCTCCGAGATTAATAAGCACACATGTACATATACATACTTGCAGGTGAAACACTCTTAAAATAAAAATATTTTTCAGGTAGTAAAAAGTTTCAAATGGAAACACACATTTATAATCCCAGGACTGGGGGTTGGGGTGGGGAGAGGTGGATTCCTGAGGCTTGATGGCTTGTGGCCAGTCAGTGTAGCCAGCCCAATAATTCCTAGACCAGTGAGAGATACCATCTCAAAAAAATAAAAAAACAAGTCGCATCCAAGGTTGTCTCCTGAGTTCTCGCACACACACACACCTGATGACAGTGGGAACGGACAGATGCCTCCTGGTGGAGGTCATCTACCTCTTGGTGAATCCTGGGTTGGAGGCTGGCAGCCTGTGCCTGAGGAGGAGAGCAGAGCACCTCTGCAGTGTCCTGCTCCTCTGCTGGCACAGCCAGGCTAGGCTCCCTTTTGTGTCTCCCTAGATGGTCCATGCCAGAGAATCCTTCCCCACCTCCCAGACTTGGACTCAGCGTGAGTTCCTCCTGCCTAAAGAGGCAAAGGAGTTGCCAGGCTTCACCCGGCAAGCCTACCACAAGCTGGCCCTGAAGCAGCCACCACACACAGAGATGAAGTCTAAAGTCCATCACCAGGCGCTCTATCCTTGGAAGGATGCAGCCCAGCATACCTGGGGCTTTCACACATGGCTTGATGTGGGACGTCTGCCTGCCACCTTCCCCACCAGGCCAGACAAACCCTATGACAGCAATGTCTGGCGCAGCTTGACTTACTCCGATGCCCACCGTCTCCCAGCTGCTGCCATCCCTCCGCCCTCCTGGATGGGCCCACACAGCTTCCTGACCTTCATCAGTGCTACCCCCATCTTCGTGGACATGAACAGAAAGAACCAAGTGATTCTGAGAACAGTGAGAGAGCTGAAGGAGGTGGAGAAACTCAAGTTGAGGAGTGAACAAAGGGCCCCTCCACTCGATGCCCATGGCAATATTCTGCCCCCACCACACTTCAAGAAGTAAGCTCCCCGCTTCCCAGGCAGTGATCCTGCCGGTGTTCACATGCCCCCTCCCACCTCTCCATTCCTGTTTCTGGTATCTAATTTTCTTCTCCAAATTTCCCACTCACAGTCACCGGAAACTTTGTTTCATGCAGCTGGAACCCATGGCCTTGCGAGCAATAAGTGTTCTGCCATGGGGCCACACTCCCAACTGCTGCCTGAAAGTTGCTGGCCAGGTGGTGCAGGCAGGGTGGGGGGACAGCCCATGGAAAGGCACTTCATTACTTAACTAAAAATGTGAATTTAACATCTGCTTGGCCTAGGGATACTGAGAAACGTAATTTAGTCCCTGGCTTCAAAAGATAGAAGAGACAGCAACAAAACCACACTCTACCTGCAAAGCACCCAAAGTGTGTGTGAGAGATGGTAGGTGTCATTATTGTATTTCTTTTGTTCTGTTGAGGCAGGATATCACTATATAGTCCAGGCTGGCCTTGACCGGCAATTCTCTGGCCTGTCTTTTGAGTGCTAGGATTACATATGTATGCCATCATGCCTGGCTGTCATTTTTTTCTTTTTCAAGTTTTTAAAAAAATTATGTATATGAGTGTTTTGCCTGAATGTATGTCTGTACACCACAAGCGTGCCTGATGCCTGAGGAAGCCAGAAAAAGCTGTTGGGTTCCCTGGAACTAGAGTTAGAGACAGTTGAGAGCGGCCATGTGAGTGCTGGGAATTGAACCTGGGTCCTCTGAGAAAGCAGCTAGTGCTCTTAACCACTGAGACATCTCCAGGCCCTCCCTCTTTCTTCTTTCTTTCCCTTCCTCCCTCCCTTCCTTCCTTTCTTCTTTTCTCTTCCCCCTTCTTTTCCTCTTTTTAAACAAGGCGAATACAGAATGTATTATGTGCTTGAGGCACAAGAGTATTAAACCTCCAGTAAAATCCACCCCCCCCCCTTTAAAGCTGGAGTCTTATGTAGCCAAGACTGGCCTTGAACTCATGATTCTCCTGCCTTCACCTCCAAAGATCCAGATTAGAGGCATATACCACCACATCTGGCCAGTAAAGTTCATTATTAACAGAGGAAGCAGAAGTGAAACCTGGCATCAGAATTAAGTCCAGGGAGTATCATTTTGACAAGTGGTTTGGTTTCTCCAGGGTCAATTGGTAAAGGAGGATCATGGACACTTACCTTACTGGATAAATATGAAATAGGTTGTCAGTATGCAAGAGAACCAAACGAGGAGCTTAGAGTGCAGCTCGGTGGAGGAGTACTTGCTTCCATGCTCAGGGCCTTGGATTCTAGCCTCCACACAGAAAAGAAAAGAAAGATGGGAGAAAGAAATTGAACCAAAGTTAGATGTTACCTTGTCCTTTAGGAGGGGAGGGAGGGATGAGTGAGGAGCCACCTCTCCCTCCCAAGGGCTAATAGGCAAGTTGACAGTCCTTGGAGGGGAGACATTTCCTTTAAGGGTGGAACCACTGCTGAGGTGCCCATGCTCCTGTAAGTAATCCTAGTGAAACGCATTGGGTCACACACACTGGTTGGGAAGAGGAAGGGGGTCCCTGGGAAAGGAGAGCTAGAAGGCGGTAATGAGAGTGACTATGATTAAAATATGTTGAATAAAATACAATGAAATGAGTTATGTATAATATATGATAATAAAAACACCTCAAAGCTTGACAGAGAAACCAGGGCTAAGTCTGGAAGGTTATGTCTTCAGAAGGTTACAGAGGGCTAGAACTGGCTAGGCCCCACTGGAGTGGTCCCAGCAGAGACAGATATTAGAGGGAACTGAGAGAGAGAGAGAGAGAGAGAGAGAGAGAGAGAGAGAGAGAGAGAGAGAGGAGAATGTGTGTGTGTGTGTGTGTGTGTGTGTGTGTGTAGATGCTCGTGGAGGCCAGAAGGGGGCATCAGATCCTTGGAGCTGGGGTGACAGGCTTTTGTGAGCCACCTGACACAGATGCTCGGATCTGAACTCTGCTCTTCTCAGAGCACTAAGCTCTCTTGACCACTGAGCCATCTCTCCAGCCCGGCGAGAATTTTTTTTTTTTGAGACAGGGTCTCTCTATGTAGCCTTGGCTAACCTGGAACAAACAGCACTAGCATTAAAGGTATGTGCCACCATACCTAGCTTGAGGGTTTGTTTTGCTTTTCAAGACAAGATTTCTTTGTGTAGCCTTGGCTGTCCTAGAACTCAATTTGTAGACCAGGCTGGCCTCAAACTCACAGAGATCCGCCTGCCTCTGCCTCCTAAGTGCTGAGATTAAAGGTGTGTACCACCACCTGCTGATAAGAGATAAATTAGATATGAAACTTTAGATTCACAAATATAGGAGAGGTGATAGAATATTTTCTGTAATTTTGCCAAACACAAATAGACTAGATATTGTAACTAATACTTGCTTGATAACTGTTTGTTACATATAATTTTACTACATTACAGTTAAAACCTTCCTTTTTGATTAAACAGAAAAAGGGAAGTGCTGTGGGATGTCTTTCTGTACTCTGTGAATATGTGTTGCTCTGACTGGTTGATAAATAAAGCTGCATTGGCCTATGGCAGGGCAGGATGGAGCCAGGCGGGAAAATCCAGGAGAGATAGGAGAGAAGAAAGGAGAATGGGGCAGACGCTGCCAGCCGCCGCCAGAAGCAGCAAGATGTAAAAGTACCGGTAAGCCACAGCCACGTGGTAACTCAGAGATTAATAGAAATGGGTTATGTTATAAGAGCTAGGGAGCCAGAAGCCTGCCATTGGCCATGCAATTGTAAATAATATAAGCTTCTGTGTGATTATTTTATAAGTGGCCGAGGGTCCATGGGGCCAGGCGGGACCAGAAGAACTCGGGACCGGAGAAACTTTCTGACTACAACCTCCAGGCAGGGATTTTTAATTAAAAATAAAACAAAAAACCAGTGAAGCCTGTGAGTGCAGCTCAGGGGTGGGACACTTGTTTAGTATGCATGAGGCCAGGTTCCACCCCCAGCTCCGCACACAGGCACTCACATGGAGAGGAATCAGTGGGTGAGTACTTGATGCACAAGCATAAGAACCCGAGTTTGACTCCCCCACACCCATGCAGAAAAAGCTGGGCGAAACCATGCATACTTGTAACCCCAGCAATGTTGGGGGACGGAGACCGGCAGACTCTAGGAGCTCATTGGCCAGCTAGCCTAGCTGAAATGTTAAGCTTCAGATCCAGTGAGAGAGCCCGTTTCAAGGGAGTAAGGCAGAAAAAGAGTAGGGCACTGATAAGCATTCTCTGGTCTCTGCACCAGCACCTGCACATACCACACGCACATATCTTACACATATGTGTTTATATACATACAATTTTTAAAATATAGCACCCAAAGTTGGTGACTTTTTGGAATGAGTCACCTTGAGGACACTGGCTTTCTCTGCTGTCCATACATGAAGACTATTGGTAACTAATGTGTATCATACAGGCATCTTCAGAAAGATTCATGATTGTGTAGGGCATGGTGGTGCATGCCTATAATCCTGGCAGTTGGGAGAGACTGAGGCAGGTGGATCAGGAATTCAAGGCCATCTTTGGCTACATGCTAAGTTTGTTGCCAGCCTGGGCTACATGAGACCTTCTTTCAAAAAAGAGGGTGGGTGGGTGCATAGCTCAGTTAGTTGATAAAGTGGTCACCTAGCATGCATGAAGTCCTGGGTTCAATGCCCAGCACCACATAAACTAGACAGGATCTGGGCTACATGAGATTCTATCTTAATCCCCAGGGCCCTCTGGATAGAAACTCAAGGTCTTGTACATATTTGGCTAGATTCCTGGGGAACTTTTCAAAATATCACAGGGTCGGGGCATAGCTCAGGAACATAGCTTCTTATTTACCATGCAAGAGGTTCAAAGTTCCATCTCTGAACTAATAATAGTAATAGTAGTAGTAGTAATATTAATATTAGTAATCAATAAACAACAAAACCAAAAACGTTTCTGGGATGGTTCCCATGTGCAGCTAGCTGCAGCAGAGACCCTCAAATTAACCCAAAGCAGCGAACAGGAATATCAGCTGAACCAGGCACAAAGCCTGTTGAAGCACAGAAAATCTGCTACTATTCAACCATGTTGTTGTTTTGTTTTTAAGTCAATTTGCTACTGTTCAATTTAATACTACAGGCCAAAACAAGAGGAAGTCGCCAGCTACACTGTGCTGACTTCAGCGGCCTTTCCATCTGCACCTCGTTCTCAGAAAAGAGGAGATGAGAAGAATGGCTGGAATTTAGATAAAACCCTGCACTAGAGTCAGACACGGTGGTAGAAACCTGTGACCTTAGCACTCTGGAGGAGGAGGAGGCAAGAGGATCTCAAGCTGGAGACCAGCATGGGCTACAGACTGAGATGGAAGGAAGAAAGGAGGAAGCAGAGAGTGGGCCATCGGACTGGGGTGTAGCTCAGAGTGCCGGAGTGCTTGCCAAGCATGTGTAAGGCCCTGGGTTCAATCCCTAGCACCAGACACATCTATAAGAAGAATCTAGGTGAGGGGCTGGAGCACTGGCTGCTCTTCCAGAGGACCGGAGTTCAATTCCCAGCACCTGTATGACAGCCCACAGCTGTCTGTAACTCTAGACTAAGGGGATCTGACACCTCCTTCTAACTTCTACCGGCACCAGGCTAACAAGTGGTGTACATGCCAGCATGCAGGCACGACGCTCACACACATAAAATAATAACATTAGTATGTGCAATAAAAATAAGTAACAGAAATTCTAGGAGGTATTCTATACAGCTGTCCCAAGGATGAAAGGTGTACAGCTAGACAGTATGGCTCTCCTAATGCCACAACACACAGTTCAAATGCAGGACATTTGGTATATAGCCTGATCCCCAAACAGCCGATGGGAATCGCCACCTGCCCTTCCTACCTTTCCTGTCATGCCTGGAACCCTCCCTTGACTCTGCTGTCTCTGAACTGCTTTCCCAACAGGTCCCGGTGCATATCTACTGGTGGAAGGCTTGAGCCTTGGGGCCACCAGATCCTACCCAACCCACTTCCCAATAATTTCAGCAGGAGCTGGCCCTGTCCCAATCCTCAGCCTCATTACCAGGAAAAGGTCCTGAAACTGGCTCGGCTGCCCACTGTGCCCCTGAGCAAAGACCTTGTGAAGGACTACCAAGCCCTGATAGAGGACCGGGTTGCCAAGCCCCTCCACTACCTGTCCAAGGCAAGACCTCCCAAAACATCAGAGGAAAATTGGAAATGAAGACCTGGATATGTCTAAAAGAGCCTCAGGGTACATACACAGCAGCCTACATTCCTCAGCAAGAAGACCCAGGAGGCTGAGGACTCTAGCTTCTACAGAATAACCTTTTGACCATCCTCCAGCCTCATACCACCTCTGTTTCAGGCTTCTGGAGACATTACTGAAGCTCTGAATTGTTCTGTGTTTTCCTTGGCGGACTCATAGTCGTGTGGGAGGATTGGGGCAGAGAGAGGGGGTAGGGCAGCTATATTTCCAGCTCTCAAGATTAGAATAAGGAGTGTTGAGGGGTGTGTGTGTGTGTGTGTGTGTGTGTGTGTGTGTGTGTGTGTGTGTGCTGGGGTGAGGAAGAAGTATGGTAAGAAATGTGGGTAAGGAAGTGCAGGCTGGGAATATAGCTCAGTGGTAGAGTGCTTGCCTAACAAGAGTGAGGTTCTATGTTCAATTCCCATCACACTACCAAAAAAAAAAGTTGTCTCTACTCCCAGAACCAATTCACAATAACACTGGACTTGGTTAGAGGACAGAAAACCTCTTAGGCAAAAAACATAACCTCAATGCCATCTCCTCCATGGACTATTTGATATCTGGACAAAGACCAAACCCAACTGTTTGTCGTGCAACTATACAGTAGATGTAGGACTGCTCGCAGGTCTCCCTGCAGGATTTGGTCACAGATAGTGCTGGAGCGTTAGGCCTGAGGAACGCAGCCATTCCTCAGCAAGACAAGCGTGGAACAAGTAGAGATTCAAGGTGAAAGGTGTAGGAGGCACAGAGGTCCTTGTGCTCACAGATAAGCACTAGGGGAACCAGGAATGTTAAACACACAGGCTTGTCTCTTCAAAGGGAGAAACATAACCTGTTTTCTGCCCAGAAGACTGGTTAATAGCCTTGTGACCTTTATGCTATCTGTGTTGCTGAGACATACCAGATCCTCCCCAAGACCCTTATCATGAAC